GGATGTCATCAAGTCTCGGCCTATGCTTGCTTGGTGGGACACGATTGACGCGATCGGATCGACCATGTCTGGCACTAACCGATGACACGCGCTCGAGGTCGGCGTGGCCCGTGTGTCGCAGTGCCGTAAATGGCATGGCGACTGCGGTTCGGCCTCGTGCGTGCAGCGTCAAGGCGAGCCAGTGGCGTAGCGCAGCGATGCGACGACAGCGACAGTGGCGTTGTCGTGGCACAGCACGGAGGGCAGCAGCAACACACGGCAATGGCAGCAGGCGGGGGCAGCGCGACGTGGCGAGTTGGGCAGCCACGGCTCCGCGCGGTGGTAGCCTGAGGCGTCCAGAGCGCGGGCAGCTCCGACCGGCCGCACGCGGCCACGCGCACGCTTGCGCGCACCGAGCGCCACGACGTCGAGGCTGCTCGGCATGGTGATCGCGTCCAACCAGAAAAAAATAGCCCAAGAACACGCTGTGCACGGATTTTAAAGCGTTCGAAACAACTACATAGTTGATCCAATCCCCAAACCACCTTCACTACTCTAAAGAGGGCACCTTAGGCCATCAACAAGAGCTAAAGAATGACACCACTCCTAAACTCCATTTTTACAGAATAAATTACCAAACATAGCTTTGTCAATCTATTTTCAGACTTAAGAAAATGACTAAGTCTTGAGTTGGATTTGCTTCAGATTCAATTTCTAAGCTATTAGAAATGTTAGCTAGCGTTATTATCTTGTTAAAACAAAAGTTGCACTATCTTCTACAAAATGTGTACTTCAAACTTTATTAAGGTGTCACATATATGTTTTATAGCGTTTTTGTTCAATAAAAATTAGTTAACATCTCTACTTGCTAACTTTATAAATCGTGAATTAACTTTTTGTTTTACGTTTTTATGACTCGTTTAAGTTATAATGCTTTACCTATCCATCACACCACATGCAATATCACTTAAGTATGATGCTCATGACATGTTTTAGCAAGTGATTCACTGTAGGTGCTGAAGGCGTTCAGGAGAGCTCGAAGGTCACCTAGGGGTCGCGGAGAAGAAGGAAGGGTGATCCCTACCACCTCTTATATAGCCAAGGGGAGCAGGGTTACATAGAGGGAGAGGGTCCTACATGTTAGAAGATCAAAGGGCCCCTTGGACTGGCGTCATCATGTTCGGTCCTCGTCACTGTTGCCATCCCGTCACAATCATGGTCACACGGAGGAGATTGTGGACTAGCTGGCCATGGATGGCCGCACCCATGTCGTGGTTGGTGGGATAGGGTTGTCATAATGGTCGGCTTAAGCTCTGACTTGGTGAGGGTGTAGCACTGTGCACCAAATGCTCCAACTCAAACTCCCATCAAGTTACATGTCTTGGACCCCTTTATATGTTGGCAAAGGAAAAACAAAGCCTTATACACTATACGTCAAGTGCCTTCGAGCACCAAGGTTGCACTTTGTCTTACATAGTTCTTAGTTTTCGTGAATATCCTTATCTCCATACTTGCCATCCATCCAAAACATCCTGAGGGCCAAAAAAAAAATGTAGCCGATAAGTAGGGATAGCAATGAGTACCCACAACCCGTAACCAATGGGTTTTGCCCCCTTTTATTAGGGTATGTGTGGGTTAACTTCCTTATGGATGGGTATGCTAATAGGAAAAAATGCTTACCTATCTTGTTTGTAAGTATGGGCATGGTCATACACTATCCAAAACATAAACCCATGGTTATGTGTATACCCAATACGCAATTGTAGTTTAGTCATCCCTCAACTCAAAGGTACTCCAAAACATGGTCCAACTAAAGCATCTAATGCTAGATAAAAAGGAGCTACATATATACCAAGTTTTTTACATTTATTACATATTTAGATATTTGTAATATGCTCATATAGTCATAGTAGATATATTTATTTTTGGGTATGTGCAACCTATGGTACCGCTACCCGCATGGGCATTACAGGTATGGATATAGATTTCTTTGTGGGTGCAAAAATTCGTTATGGATGTAGATTCGGGTGTCCATTGGGTATAAACCCATTGCCATCCCTACCTGCAAGTGACTAATTCATGTGAATATAGTTGCTGCAAAACACACATAGTAATAATTACTTATGTTCATCAATCATCAAAATCCCAAAAACCATTTAGCTAGATCGTATTTGGATCCATGAGAGCTTATATATATACATATAAAGACGCTAAAAAAAGGTTGTAGCTGATTTATTAAACAACCGAGCTTATAGTCTAGCTTATACTATCAAACCACTAAGCGTATAAAAAGGTTACAGGCCTCTCCTCACAAAAACTACACATAAGCATGCCCTAGATTGTCTCATCTTCGTTTAGGCCCTGTTCGGTTTACTCAGAAGCGTTCGACTTCTTTTTTCAGCCGGAACAATATTTTTCTCTCACAACAGTTCAGGCAGAACAGTGTTTTTTAGCCAGTTTCAGCCAAAATTCAACCAGCCGACTATCAAACCTTGTTTGATTATTCCATCTTCTTTATTTGTTTATTTAGTAAAGAGATTCGGCTTCGTACCTATGCCATCTCAAAATTAATTTTGTCACAATATACGTAGAGGTCCGCAGCTCACTGTAGTACACATTGCCTTCCCGTTGACCCCAAGAAAATGCAGTTCATGGACCACTCCAATTCGATGTTTCCTACTTCGCAGGCAGTCACTTTCATACTAGGAACTTTTCTGTGTGTGCATAAAAGAACCCGTTACTTCCCATCAGCTACCCCTCCACAAATCCAAATCGTGCATTCTTCAACACCAGGCACCAGCCATCCGATTCGAAAGAAACTACAATTCTCGGTGCCCTTCCCTTGCGGCCTTGCCCTTTGAGATCAAGAATGGACGGTCGAAAATCAAAAGAACACAGCAATAAACAACAGTATATAATTGAGCAAGAATAGTGATTCAGTCCCTATCAGTTAGAAGAGTCCCTAAAAAAGATCAGAAAGAAGAGAAATACTGAAACAGCCTAGCTGCTCAGTGCTGACCATCCATCCCATCATCAACCAGCTTGCACGTTTCGCACACCCCAGCCCATGTTCCGTGCTGCCTGCCCTTTCACACTCCGCCTTCCCCCAACCTTCTTCCGCTATCGCTGGACCTGGACTTGGACCTGGAGACCCGATCTGACCAACCAACCACACATGACGGTGCACATCCACCGTCCGTTCCAGCGCAAACAAACCCTAACGCCCTGGATCCGCCGTGCCACACTCTACACGCGCTGCCCCATTCCCCACCAACCACGTCCGCACCGCACGATCCTCCGCTCGCCGACCCCGCCGTTCGGTGTTCGACGCTTCGCACCGGATCCGGGTACCCGGCGAATCAAAATACCCAGCATGGAACCACCCCCCATGTGGCCCACCGCGCGGGGGAGACGCGGATCCACCGGCCCCGCCCGATCGGACGGCCAGCCTGCGCGCGAGGACCCACTGGGCGGGGGCACGCGGGGTGGTGGCACGCGCGGTGGCGGCGCAGCGGAGATAAAATGGCATTCCCCAGGAAGGCATCGCCCCACTCTCACCTCGACGCGCCTCTGAAAGTTCGGAGCCGCCGCCCTCTCCGCCTCCCTCTCCGCCTCCGGTGCCCAAGGGTGAGTCTCGCGTCCCACCAGGCTTCTCTCCCGTCCTCTGTTCCCGATTTAGGCTCGTGCTCTCGTTCCTATTTGTGGCGATCGGTCCGGCATGCGTGCTGTTATATATAGATCTGCTCTGCCCGTCTGTGTTCGTCGCGTATAGATCCATTATTTCCGGTTTTTAGGTTTGGATCGTTCGTGTGGTAGCCTCGGCCTTTGGGGTTCATTCAGATCGGTGCTTCCTGCGTCGGGTAAGGACTGTTGAGACTCTCCTAGTGGTCGGTTCATCTATACTTGAGATCTACTCCGTTTATCCGTATGTGTGTGCATCGCAGTGGATTTTGTGCTCCGTTTGTCTTGGGAGCCTTGGAATCTTTAAATCTTTGTGGAATCCTTTTAGATCGCAAGGTTATTGGGTTGTCAATCGGGCAAGTGGGACAGGGAGGGAAAAAATATGTCGTATTTTGACCACTGTTTCGTGATAGTGACGGTGCCCTTTAGATCTGTCTGTGTTCTGAGCCGTGGATGGCGATCTGACGGCAGACGCCCGTCCCAAAGATATTGGTTGAAATGTTGAATTCTTTATACTTTATGCACATATATCATGTGAAGGTCTTGTTTAGCATGCTCCCGGCCCTAGATCTGTTTCACTCTGTACTACGTACAGGCTGTCATAATCCATGACTTTTTTGTGCACGGTTGAAGTTCGGGTAAACTGTCGTGATTTAAAAGGTCTAAGTGGCAAAAATGAAGAATATTCTCTTGCTAACACATGTTAAAGATGGTCTCATTTGTACTTGAAACAATGGGTTTATTTTTCGGTTCTTGAAAGGACGAGTACTAGAGTGCACACTTATACTTTTGACATGCTATGGGTTTCTTCAATGGTTTTATTGTAACTGAATTTGGAGATCATGGTAATCTTCATTTGTTACACAACCTGTGTGCACACCTATACCTTTGACATGCTATGATGTTCTTCAATGTTTTTAATGTAATTGTATTTGGAGATCATGGTAATCTTCATTTGTTACACAACCTGTGAATGTTAAAATTCCTGAACTGTTTGAGCATGCTACAATAGGCTGTCTTGGTGTAAATTTTGTTGATTCATTTTTATGCTTCTGTTCTATTCTGATGATTGTTGTCAAGATTAGAGTTATGGAACATGAAAATTATAAATATCTATGTCTGTATAATTTAATTAATTGTTTATTTCTGTTTGATAGTTTATCTGTTAATGTTTATACGGAGGCTCTCTACTTATGTTGAAACTCAGAAAATAATGTCTGTTTCTGTAGCTTTATTATTACTATACATATGCTTATCTTTACACATTCTGTTTCTCTTTATGCACTGTCCTAAGTTTTGTGTATTGATATTGTGTTGCAGCCAATAGTTTTGAGGTGGTAATGGCGGACCAGGCTAACCAACCCACTGTCCTTCATAAGCTCGGTGGCCAGTTCCACCTGAGCTCCAGCTTCTCTGAAGGTGTACGGGCCCGTAACATCTGCCCTTCTGTCTCATCTTATGAAAGGAGATTTACCACGAGAAACTACATGACCCAGAGCCTTTTTAGCCCTTCAATGTCTGTTAGCGGTGGCATCAATGTCCCAGTGATGCAGAACCCGCTTTTTGCCAATGCTCCAGCTGAGAAAGGAGGCAAAAACTTCATGATTGATTTCATGATGGGTGGTGTTTCAGCTGCTGTTTCAAAGACTGCTGCTGCTCCCATTGAGCGTGTGAAGCTGCTTATTCAGAACCAGGATGAGATGATTAAGTCTGGTAGGCTGTCAGAGCCATACAAGGGTATTGGTGACTGCTTCAAACGTACCATTAAGGATGAGGGTTTCTCTTCCTTGTGGAGGGGTAACACCGCTAATGTTATTCGTTACTTCCCTACTCAGGTAGCCCACACCTTCCATTATATTTTTTACTCAGTAACTATTGTAAATATGTTGAAACTGCATGATCTTTCAGTACCTAAATGATTGAATGCTCCTGATGGACTGTACGAGTTACTGAATATAATTTAACTTATATTATTAATTGTCCTCATATCTATGTTCTAGGCTTTGAACTTTGCATTCAAGGACTACTTCAAGAGGTTGTTCAACTTCAAGAAGGACAAGGACGGTTACTGGAAGTGGTTTGCTGGTAACCTCGCTTCTGGTGGTGCTGCTGGTGCTTCCTCTTTGTTTTTTGTGTACTCCCTGGACTACGCCAGGACAAGGTTGGCCAATGATGCCAAGGCTTCCAAGGGAGGAGGTGAAAGGCAATTCAATGGTCTTGTGGATGTCTACCGCAAGACACTCAAATCTGATGGCATTGCTGGGCTTTACCGTGGATTTAACATCTCTTGTGTTGGAATTATTGTTTACCGTGGTCTGTACTTCGGGCTCTACGATTCTATCAAGCCAGTTCTCCTCACCGGCAGCCTCCAGGTTTGTCTAATTTCTGTCTCTTTCAATATAAGGTGCTTTTGCTTGTGGTATGAGCTACAAGATGTGTTTCTCTTTTGCAGGACAATTTCTTTGCCAGTTTCGCTCTGGGTTGGCTGATCACCAACGGTGCTGGTCTTGCATCTTACCCCATTGACACCGTCCGCAGAAGGATGATGATGACCTCTGGTGAGGCCGTCAAGTACAAGAGCTCCTTGGATGCGTTCCAGCAGATACTTAAGAAGGAAGGCCCCAAGTCCCTGTTCAAGGGTGCTGGTGCTAACATTCTTCGTGCCATTGCTGGTGCTGGTGTGCTTTCTGGTTACGACCAGCTCCAGATCCTCTTCTTCGGGAAGAAGTACGGCTCTGGCGGTGCTTAAATGGAGAAAAATGATGACGAACAACGGAACAAGAGCAGTTTGTTCCCGCTCCTGCCCAATCAGGATCTGGTGAAGTTTTTGCCTTTCATATCGAAGAAATTAATAATTCATGTAGAGGGAGGATTCTTCCAACATTCGTTTTGGGCGGAGACTTCGATCTCCAAACACTCGTAACTATCCTACTAGGTGGTGGCATCGGTCCCCATAATCATTTATGGTCATATAGGGTGTGTCGAGTCTGCCCTTGCTTTGTCAGTCGGGCAATTTTCCTTACATACATTGCCATCGATTAAGTATCGGATGAGAGTCAAGTTGCTGCGGTTAATTGCCTGTTTCTCTTTACCTTTTGCAATACATGATTGTTGTTATCACTGGATTTCTTGCGAATGTTGCATTTGGTTCACGTGTGCGTCAGTTCATCTTTGTAGAGATTCTACATTTTTACGCATGGCTCAAATGGTCTCGCTTGGCTACTAGGTAGTGTAGCCGTTTGATGAAACGCTAAACAAGTGCTCATGAAGGTAGTGCAGCCGTTTGATGAAATGCTAAACGTGTTCATGACATTTTTAGGCTAAACTGTCCAGCTACCGGGTAGTGTAGCCATTTAATGAAATGCCAAAACAAGCGTGATAAAATGCCAAAACAAGTGCTCATGACATTTTTAAGCTCAAAACGTCTAGCTACCAGGAACCAGGTAGTGTACCCGCTTGATGAAATGCCATGTGCTATGGTACCTAGAGCATCCTTGGTAAACCAAAGATTATATGAATAATAAAATGATTGTGGAGTTCTAATTTTGCTCTGTGAATAATTCAGCTTTTAAAGGTCATTCTTAGGTCCTGTTAACACATCTTGTCGGTGTTTTCGGATCACCGATGAGTAAATTTGTGTTTGCGCTTCTGGCTCGGATGGTGTGCTCGGAGGACACAAGGGTTATACTGGCTTGGGCGGAACGTCCTGTCGACACAGAATTTTTGTCTCCGTGCCGAGGACACACGCAGCAAGCCGGAAGGGTGGTCGATCATGCGCAATCCTCCCGAGACGTGCCAGTCAATTTGGCCCTGCAATTGACAAGGAGAGAAAACTCATCAGTAATTAAGGGCGGAACGTGCCGGTGTTGCCAGACAGTCCCGAATGTGCGGCTCTGAGAGCCGATACGAGAAGAGATCGACTAAATAGTCGATTCCAGCATATTCATAAGAATAAATCGATTAAAACTCATGGGGTTATATAAAAAGAATGGGTTATCATTCATGATAAATATTATTTCAACAAATATTAATCAATGACAATAAGATATCAATGATGATCGGTTTATACTGAGCCAATGATTACAAGTAACCGAACTCCTTTTTATATAAAGAAACAATTCAACACCATTTGACCATTTAATAAAGATAAATCTAATGAACATGTTAGATCTCATCTATCGCCATAACCAGTGGGGCATGAGGCAGAATCATGCAGGCTATAAAAACAACAATAGACTCGACAACCCTAACTCATTACTAATATCAGTGGGGCATGAGGCAGAATCATGCAGGCCGTAATACAATAATAAGATCATGGGGCTAACATATCTTTCAACTTATCTCTACTTAAATGATCTCGTAATGTGAACTGTTCGTGAAAACGTTCGATATCGGCTAAACAGCCGATTCAGGCATAGCGCACAGTTAAGATCATGCCTTCTTAGGAACGGATCTACCGACTAACGATCCCCACTCCATGGTGCTAACAGTGGGGTGAGAGGCAGAATCTCACAGGCCGTGATAACGGGCCATGAAACGGTTCTCGCTAATCAATAGATCTACTCAAGATCGAACATGCATTAACCGCACGCTATGCATGATTAAGATTGACGCAAAACAGCCGATAAAGCATAACTCATCGTTTAAGGTGTAGATTAGATCATCTTTAGATTAGCAAACGATGGGTTAAATAAGATATAAGGCCGATCCAGATCAATCTCAATCGGACAGAGTGATATTGCTGTAATTAGATAAATGATGAAAGCAATAAGCTATATCGGCAACTTAATGAATCTACCAAACACTGCCATCCTAAGGTAGAGCCGATAACTTGACCTTGAACTAGTTCAAGCAGTGGGGTGTGAGGCAGAATCACATAGGCCATACTTGAACTAGACAAGAGTCGATAACTAGCCTATACCAGAGTCGCAGTGGGGGTCGACCAGATCGATGCAGCCATACGAATATAGGTATAAACCATGATGGTACTTACAGATAAGCAGTGGAGGTCAACTGGATCGATGCAGCCGTACTCGCTGAAGAACTCGCCGAGATCTACTCTGCTCCTACTCCTAAGGAGCGGCCGGAGCCGAAAAAAATAATTGACTTGTATTTGATCGGTTCGGTTGATTGTTTTTTACAATAGGCCGAAAACTCATATATATATATATATATATATATATATATATATATATATATATATATATATATATATATATATATATATATATATATATATAACACGAGTCGGCTGGTCTCTTTGCCGTGTACAAACATGACTCAAAAATAAAGATGGAAATATAATCTAAGAATATATCTCCGTTGAGCCAAAGTCCGGATCTCCCATGCACGCTCTGCAAACGTGGCCATGCAAATATATGCGGCCAGGCCACATTATTACCAATCTCCAATTCCCGATATGTGCTCCTTTCTTTAATTAATCACCATCTCGTGCACCTGTCAGATGACTTCCGTAGACTTAGCTGGTAAATAGAAATCGATTTGGTTCTCAGCTCGTATGGCAATTGGAATCAATTAAATAATCTTTCTTCTCTTTGCTGCCGTGGTACATGCCAATATCTTGTGCTTTCCGTAACCAAGCTTTCTTCTGTAAGCTATCTTTCCATCGTTGCCTTCCGCATACGTGAGGCCATCTAATTAAAATATTTCATTTCCTTTTTGAGCATGGGCAATCACATCTGATTTTCGAAACGATCCTGTGCATGTGCCAAAGCTGCGTTCTGCAACAGATCAACATCTTGGCCATGAAATATCCCTTATTTAGGCAATGTTCTTGTTTTTGACATCATCGGCCGATCTTCTCTTTTTTAGGGTAAGCTTACTAAATTTTGGTGTAAACACATCCCTACGTCTAGTTCGCTGCTACTCATATTACCGGCGCTGGCTTTGTAGTAAGGGTTATAAACAGGCGAGAGAAAAAGGATCCTAAGTCTCTGGTGGAAGGAGTGAACGGATACTGAGAGCTCGATTGGCCCTAACCCTATGCTCGCGTCGTGCTCTTGTGTTTCGATCTCTCCAGTGTGGGGCGCCCTGCTTCCCCTTTTATAGGTGAAGGGAAAGCGCGGGTTACAGAGGAGGAAAAGAAGAAGAACGAGGGAGAGAAGAAGGCTTCTAGGGTCATCGGGTCCTTCTTCATGCGGGTCCCACTGATCCTGTAGATGTCAACAGGGACGGCTCCATGTCGCGGCCCTGTTTGTCACTGGCGCCATGCGCAGGCGTCATCTGCCGGTCATGGTGTCCCACTCCGTCCCGACGGACGTCGTGGTGAACTAACGTGCCTGTCAGCGTCCGTACGAGGATTAGGCAGAACAGTACCGGCACGTCCGACACTGTTCTTGATGTGAATTGCCAGGTATGGCCCGTCATGGCCACGGGTTACATCGAGGCATGCCAGCATCTTCCCTAGTATCAGAGTTTTGACCCAGGCCCATACGCTTGGACCTGGAGTGGTTGGCGGCGGTATGGGTCCCTGTCGGACGAGATGGAACCTGCGTCCTCGAGGTCGGGTGAGACGGAGCCCGCGACCTTGGGCAAGACAGAAACCGCGTCCTTAGGGTCGGGTGAGACGGAGCTCGCACCCAAGGGTCGGGTGAGACGGAGCCCGCACCCAAGGGGTCGGGCGAGATGGAGCCCACGGCCTCAAGGTCGGGCAAGGCGGAGCCCGCGGTCTCGAGGTCGAACGAGACAGAGCCCGTGACCTCGAGGTCGGACGAGACGGAGCTCGCGGCCTTGGGTAAGACAGAAACCACGTCCTTGGGGTCGGGCGACACGGAGACCGCATCCAAAGGGGTCGGGCGAGACGGAGCCCACGACCTCGGGGTCGGGCAAGACGGAGCCCGCGGCCTTGATGTCGGGCGAGGCGGAGCCCACGGCCTCGAGGTCGGGCGAGATGGAACCTGCGACCTCAGGGTCGGGCGAGACCTTCTAATACATCTCGAGCCATTCGGGGGATTCAGCGTGGGTGCTAACTCCCTTGCTTTGGGTATCCATAATATCGATACCCGACAGTAGCCCCCAGCTTGCGGAGGAGTAGAATACTCCTTTGGAGGCTTTTTTGGACGGGAGGACTCTGAGGGCCTTGGCCTACTTTTTGTAGTTAGCGGCGTGTCCTGGTAGGACGGCGATTGCCTTTTATCGTGATCGGTCTTCTAGGAGGCATGCAACCGTAGGATTCGGAAGGTCGAAAAGATTGTTCTTGATTCCGGTCCCCTAGGATCCGATCGGTCCACCGTCGTACTGCGACCGCACGTTCGGTCTCTTTGCAAGTCCAACTTCCCTCGAGCCCCCGCATGTTGCAGGGGTCCAATCAAGGGGTCAGCTCGTCTTATCCCTCAAGCGTTTTTTTGATAAAACGGAGGGGCTGAGCCATGCCACGTTTTTCGTCGATGGACGAAACATGGTGCTCGGTGAGCTGTTAATGGGCTAGTCCGAGTAGGGCCCTGGCTTCCCATTCATGGGGGTCCGACAAGAGTCAGCTGGTGATCGACTCCAAATTCTCAGTGGCCAATCCATATAGTTCTCGGGTCCGTTCGACCGGTCCCAAGGGCTCGTTGCCTTTCTTCGAGGAAAAACCATAGACTGGGACCCGACCAAGACTCAAACATGGGCCGAGATGCCTGTGGCGCTCGTGCGCCCGGGTACTGGCCGCTAGTGGGCCCATCCCTTTCCACCCCTCACTCTAAGGGTGCCCCGGATCGGCTATGGTCCCATCGGAGGGCCAGCCTTTGA